GTATTATAAATATTTTTATATAACAAATCGTAATGTTTCTTTTAAAAAATCACTAGATCGTTGCTTTGACCATGATGCTATTAGTTTTTAATATATCAATTTAGAAAATATTACTTTTAAAGTGTTAAGTTTATTTACATTCCCAAATCATTCCTAGAAATTTAACTGGGAAATTATTGTTATAATTTATTTTATAGATGAATTTTATTTGAATAAAAACCTATGCTTGTGTATGACTGCAGTTCTTTGATTTTTATCTACATTTCCAACAAGACAGAAAATATAATGCCCTAATATTTCACATATAGTTTCATTTATTAATTCTTCATTTTTACACATATTTTTTTTTAAATAATTTACAAATAAGTTAGCTGTCGGTACAATTCATGGAAATGCATCCACATGCATGTGTCTTGTTGGGTAGGTGCCGTCCTCTTTTGCCGACCTATTTATACCATCTAATAGCAGTGGTGGCACCGGTGTGTTTTGGTTTGAATGGTATAGAAAGCCAGTATAATTACAGACTGTGATGCATTCCATTTTAGTCCTCAGAGGTAAGAACGCATCTGTAGCCTTCTTCATTTCAAGTTATTTGCTGGTGATCATGGGAACTAAATAACATCAGGTGAGTAAGTTCATTTGTTACTTCTATTTTATAAAAAAGGCTTGAATTTGATTCAAGCGTTATTAGATGATATTTTAACCCTTTCACTGTCCTGTGGACTACATATGGGTCATTGCTATTGTCTTACTATAATGTCTGAAAACCGGACAGTGAAAGTGTTAAACTATCAGCCGGTGATCTTTGCTCAACCAATCAAAGTAAGTGACTATGTTTGACACGATTGCATTGTAAAATGCGTGCTAACACGCTTCATTGCCTGGATCTACTCCTGCACGGTAAGATTAAATCTAATATACAGACGCGAAGAAATAAGATTTCACAAAATTTGGTCAGCTATATAATGTGGTTTCGACTTAGAATATGTGGACGAGCTATTACTATAAGCGGATTGGGGATCGCAGGATAGAATAGAACAATTTTTATTTAATATACAGGGTTCCATATAACCAGCCAAATTTGCAGAGAAGGTTCAGAACAAGTAATGTAAAGTGGTAAAGAAAAATGAATTAAAACAAATGTAAATATTCTGTCCTTTTTATCTTTTAAATTCAACATGCGTGGTAATGCATTATTTTAACTGATTGTCATTCATAAATAACCTAACGCTCACTATTTTACTACGCACGCACATATTTGTAAGGGACGATCGATCGGCAAAACGTGAATGAATCGCACACAGGAGCGCGCGTACGTGTAGTTATTGCCCATAAATCACATTCAATTTGGGATAATTTCAAATAAAAGTAAAAGCCTCATTTACTCCGTTACGGTACGCGGTATATCATTATTTAGATATTTGCACTTAAGTTTAAAATTTGGCTATTCTGAAAAATAACCATGTTGCATGTAACAAGAATACTTTTTGAAATTAATTTTTTATACTATTACCGCTTGTTCTGGGAAGAACCAACAACAAACCCAGAAGTACTTTTTTTTAATGAAATCTATTTAGAATATATTATTTTATACAATTATTATGTGTGTTAAACAACTCGCATCACTGACGCTGATCAGCGTTGCCGGTTTTGGGTATTTGACAGTTTATACGGGTGACTATGCTGCTATCTATTTGGAGGCAAGAAGATATTTCTAGTTTTACACCCACGGGGTGATAATTGGTAATGAATTCTTTTACGCTGTCGTGAAATGATAAAGTAACTAATAAAACATAAAACAAAATAGAGATGAAATAGTATTCAGTCTTGTATATTTTTAATTAAAGTATAATTATTCTTGAAACAAACTATTGAGCCTCGTCGCCTTTTCCATTTTCCTCATTGTTTATTTCATCCTGAAAGAAAATTTAAAATTTAACATTTGCATTTAAAAATATAGTAAGAGCTTACTTATTTCTAAAAGGCCGGCAATGCACCTATAATTCCCCTGGTGTTGCAGTTGTTCATGGGCGGCGGTAGTCACTTACCATCAGGTGAGCTGCATGCTTGTTTACAGTTTGCAAATTGACTCAAAACAAGCAGGATTTAATTTATCTTTTCTTATTGCTTAAAAATTTTGTTAATTAATAGTGAATGTATAAACTCTAACTACTTCATTAGTCTGTAAAAGTCCACAGCAAGAAATGGGCCTCTCGCTCGGGAAGACAAGAGATTTAGATTTAATGTAATTATCAAAAACAATTAATTTTATCAATATTTGTTTTCTTTAAAATAAGTATTTCGGCTATTGCTATCTATTTGTTCGAGAAGTTTCGTTACAATCGCTTCAGCCATTCAAAAGATTAGCCTGGCTATTCACGTTTTTATTTATATGTGTCATATAATATACTATATATAATATACTATCATTGAGTTATATATACTACGTACTAGAGAAGTCATTCTAAACAAAAAAATGTGCTCTACTCTATGTCTTCGTGCATGCGCGGGAGATAGTAGAGTCGCGCATACGCAGTCGATTTATGGTGGAAGCTCCAGGGTGGCCCGCGAAATTCAAATTTTCTTGCGTTTTTTGAAATTTGCAGGTCAGGGTTAGGTTGTATATTTAACAAAATATGATTCGCGACCGTAGCGATTATGTGTTTACAGAATTATTATCATTAAAATCACCAATACAACCCTGTAAGTTCATATTAGCCCTTTGAATGAGTTTTTCTGGAAATAGCCATATAAAGGGCTAATATGAACTTACAGGGTTGTATTGGTAATTTTTTTTATAGAATAGGGAGACAAACGAGCACACAGTCCACCTGATGGTAAGTGGTTGCTGTGACCCATAGAAATCTACATCTATCCTAAATAAAGAATCAAAATGCAGTTGCGTTGTCACCCGTGAGGAATAAGATGGAACGCCTCTTCTCTAGTAAAAAGGGTCTCTGGTTATGTACACTCACCATACGAAACACAGCTGTGTTAAGCTGCTATTTTACCCTGGTATTCTGTGAGAGCGTGGTCCTTCCTCGGTCGAGCCGACTCATTCGTGCTACAACTATACAATTAATATAGCAGAAGCATGGCTGTCTTACGTCGGTCGGTATTACGAACTAGACATGTGTAACACTGCGTTTCGCCGCGCTTTTGCGGTAACTCAGTTCACTGCGCAAACGTGCGAACTCACTTATTCAAAATTTGTTGTGCACAACGCAGGACCGAGAAATTCGAAAGGTGTTAAGATGTTGTTATTTTATATTATTTTTTTAAACTGCAACACCGTTAAATATAAAAAGAGTAATTCATAACACCTAATATGTAGGTACTCTTTCTTTTCTACATTTTATATTACTTACTGGCCACACCGTTTTATTTTGATAGATGGCCGAGTTGATAGATTTGTTTATAATTTGTAGCGCCATGACGCAATTTTGAGTTATCGCAATGAGCCGGCGCAGTAAACTGTGCCTGAGTTACTGAGTTAACGCAGGGAATTTCACTGACTTACCCATGTCTACTACGAACGTCAATCTCTTTATAACGGTAGAGGTCCATGTCCAGCAGTAGATTAACAAAGGGCTAACGAAGAAGATACCATACGTACCTTAGGCTCGGGTTCGGATTCAGCAATGATTTCCTGGAATAATTTTAATAAAACTTATTTTATTATTTTTATTACAAATACGTAACAACCAGTGTGTGTTGCCAGTGACGATTACTAAGCTGAAGTTGCAAGTTTGGCTGGCCATTACAATTATAATAAAAGCTCGAAGAGCTAACAAGTTCGTTTTAGTTGGTTGGTAGTATTTTTTTTTCCTCAAAAAAGAGTAACCTCCACTCTAGTATTTTCTCCTGTATTGTGGCGGTAGTTTACAAACATAAATTGCACAAGAAAAAACATCCAGACCCTAAACAATTATTTGTAGGCCATACAAATACTTGTTCCGTGCGGGATTAGAACCCGCGGCCCTTAGCGCTGCAACCACAAGTTACAACCGTTATTGAAGTTGATCTCGATTGACAGATGCAAAATGTCATAATATTTTGTTGCTTATATACGAGTAAATTTGACACATGTATAAATTTTCACTACCGGTTCAAAAAAACAAAATAATACAATACCCCTTTTATAGTAGTATTATATATAAAGATATACAAATGCTATGGAGCTATGGAGAGGGCTATGCTCGGAGTTTCTCTGCGTGATAAACTTAGGAATGAGGATATCCGCAGTAGAAAAAGTAACCGACATAGCCCAACGGATTAGTAAGCTGAAGTGGCAGTGGGCCGGCCATATAGCTCGAAGAACCGACAACCGATGGGGAAGAAAGGTTCTCGAGTGGCGGCCTCGTACCGGTAGGCGAAGTGTAGGGCGTCCCCCCACGAGATGGAGTGACGACCTGGTAAGACATGCAGGAAGTCGATGGATGCAGGTGGCTCAGGACCGTGCTTTGTGGCATTCTTTGGGGGAGGCCTATGTTCAGCAGTGGACTTGTGAAGGGCTGTAATGATGATGATGATGATATACAAATATTGAAGGAAAACAAACTGTAGTCTTACATAGCTACCTACTTATTTCATACAATCCGTTCATCAGTATCCTATCATCTCTATCATTATTATGACGGCCCTTCACAAGTACTCTGTTGAATATCACTCTCTCTCTTCCCCAAGTCTGCCAGACGTGGCCATTAAGGAAATATTATTCATATTATATTTCATCGCTTCATTTTTCAGATATAAATATTCACCAGGTAGTCCCCTTAACCTACAGGTGACTCTATACACGCTTAAAAAGACATTCATTTGACTAAACTGAAGTTAACTGTGAACCGATTTACCCCTACCACCGCCGACTCGGGGACGGGGTGAGTCGCCATTCTGAGCTCATTCCTTTTTCGTGCACGGTGACGACAGCACGCGTCTCCGAATAACTTTTCACTTTATTCTTTGCCTTTTTTTATTAAGTATTTATAATTAAAATCATAATGCCAAAACGAAGTGCGGAAGAAAAAATCGAGCGTTACGAACGCAAAATTAGAAAATTACGTGAACGCGATATCGGACGACATCGCCGAATACGCGTCATATCATCCGATTCTTCCAATAGTGAAGGTAAGCATATTAACTTTTTTATTATAACGATTCATCATGAGTCAAGATTACGTAACTTTTAGGTTTAGTTAACACCTGTGTTTTTTACACGCTACCAGCTTTCATCAGAACAGGCCGTGAGCCTCGTTTTTTGAAAAAATAACCTTCATCAGGACAGGCCGTGAGCCTCGTTCGTTGAAACAAAATGCTTCATCAGGGCAGGCCGTGAGCCTCGTTCGTTGAAGTAATTCACTTTTCTAATCCTAAAAATATTAGTTTTAGGTGTTGAAGATGCCGACCAACCTGAGTTAAGCCTTAAAAATAATACGAAGAATCTCGTGAACTCTTCAGGACAGTGTTCCACACCATCCATCAGAGAGCCTGAACTCATGCCGGAGCCAGAGCTTACGCCGGAATCTGAGCTCGTAGCGGAGCCAGAGTCTAGACCAGAGGCCAGGGCAGAGAAACCATTAGAGCCGCTGGCTTTGGAGGCAACTTCGTTGGAACAAAACCCGAACGATGAATCAGCCGAACCAGAATTGGACCCTGAACTTTTAGAAGCCCTCGGTGAATCCACCAGCGTTACCCCAGAGTTTGGAGAAAGAATTTACGAGAGTTTAGCCAAATTGTGGCTTCCTCTACTCGTCAAAGGCTTGCCAAAAGATAAAAAAGAAAAAATTTGAAGGAGTACTTAATCCCGGACAACTGTAGGTTGCTGCAAGCGCCTAAATTAAACGCAGAGATATCAGCAGCAGTTATAGACACTGTAAGAAACAGGGATAAGATCCTGGTAGTTCACCAACAACAACTGGGGTCGGATATAACAGCCATTAACAGAGCGCTTAATACTCTCTTAGGTGGGGATGACAAGAAGAATGCTATCCAACATCTTAGCAATGCCTGCCATATACTATCGGATTTGCATACGGTAAATATGAATAGCCGCATAAAGCTCATTACACCAAACCTGGATAAGAACTTCCTCCACGTAGTTCAAGATGCCGTAAGAGACGAAACTTTGTTCGGTAACAAACTTGCAGAAAAGATCAAGGCAGCCAGAGCTATTGAACGACAGGGTCAAAACGGATACTTAGTCACAATTGATCTGAAAGAAGCCTACTTGCTAATTCCGATTCATGCTGAAGAGAGAGAAACACTCAGACCACGACCTACGAGTTCACGTCAATGCCCTATGGGCTGTCCGTGGCTCCTAGGGTATTTACTAAGATTATGAAAGAAGTCTTAACTCATTTGAGAAGTGCGGGTTTTAATTCAGTAGTTTATCTAGATGATATTCTCTGCATCGGCAATACTTATGACGATTGCAGATCTAAAGTAAATGAAACTTTGAAACTATTGCAATGTTTCATCATAAATTTCGATACAAGTTCGCTCCAACCTAAGCAAATTTGTAAATTCTTAGATTTTCTCTTTAACACTAAGAATCTAACCGTTTCTCTCCCAGATAATAAACGTAACAGTATTGCACAATTAGTTCAGAAGTTTACCTACCTACCTACATGCACTATTCGAGTTTTTGCTCAATTAATTGGTAATCTAACTGCGGCGTGCCCTGCTGTCCAATACGGTTGGTTGTAAACCAAGCTATTGGAATGTCAAAAATATCTCGCGATATTAGAAAATCAGAATTATGAGAGTAAAATCAATTTACCTAGTATTATCCTTGAGGATCTTATTTGGTGGACTAATAACATTCAAAAAACATCACATCCAATGCGAAACGCCGCCTATAAAATTGAAATTTACACAGATGCTTCACGAACTGGCTGGGGCGCAGTTCGCGATGAAGAACGCGCTCACGGAGGGTGGTCAGTTAGTGAACATAATTACCATATAAATTATTTGGAACTATTGGCAATCTTTCTCGGACTCAAAAGCTTGGCATCTAAAGAAACTAATTGCGCGATACTGTTACGGGTAGATAACACTACAGTCATCAGTTATGTGAATCGCATGGGCGGAATATAATTCCCCCATTTAAACCAGATCGCTCGGCAAATTTGGCAATGGTGCGAGAAGCGTAAAATTTGGATCTACGCGTCATACGTCAATACTAAAGAAAACTGGGCTGACGCTGAATCTAGAATTATAAACCCTGACACCGAATGGGAACTCTCCTTTACCAGCTTTCAAACCATTGTATCACATTTCGGCCAACCAAATATCGACTTATTCGCTTCCCGCACCAACGCCAAATGCACAAACTTTGTTTCTTGGAGACCGGACCCAGATGCAATGGCTGTAGACGCTTTTACTATAAGCTGGAGCGGATGTTGTTTTTACGCATTCCCCCCCATTTTCCATAATATTAAATTGTTTAAGGAAAATAATGGATGACAGGGCACATGGAATACTTGTTTTTCCTTATTGGCCTTCACAACCCTGGTTCCCCTTATTTATAAGGGTTATTAGCATCCGACACAGAATGTCGGCCTTGGGCCCTAATAAGAATCTTTTACGGTCACATTCCAGGGAACACCATCCTTTACACGCGAGCCTTTCCTTGGGTGTCGCGAGGCTCTCCAGCAAGCTTTCTCCCGAAGATGCCCACCAGAGGCCCTCAACCTCATGCTAGCATCACTCTCCGATAGTACGGTAAAACAATATAATGTTACCTATAAGGCGTGGTGGCGGTTTTGTGACAACAGAAATATTAATCTGTTCCAACCATCTGTTTCTCCTTTTTGACTGACCAGTTTAATAGTGGTTGTACATATGGAAGTCTGAATTCTCATAGATCGGCACTGTCATTACTTCTCGGAAACAATATTGGTTCAGACGAACGTGTAAGTCGATTGCTAAAAGGAGCTTATAAATTAAGGCCAAACGTTCCCAAATATACACAGACCTGGGACCCTCAACGTGTTTTAAATCACGTTGCAGAGTGGCATCCAAATACAAACTTGAACCTGGAAAAAATTACCAAGAAGTAAGCAATTTTGTTAGCCCTCTGTACAGCCTATAGCGTACAAACCCTGTCATTAATTAAATTGGAAATATATCATTTTCTCACAATAACGCAAAGATCATAATTACTGATTTAATAAAATCTTCCGCCCCAGGCCGAGAACAACCTGTACTCCTGATACCATTTTTCTTAGAAAATGTGAATATTTACCCAGCTACTGTTTTAAAAGATTATATTTCTGTCACAGAAAGTAAAAGAACAGAAAACAGAGGTAAACTGTTCCTCACTCACAGGCCACCACACAGGTCAGCCACGACACAATCAATCAGTCGATGGATTAAACAAGTGCTATCGGAGAGTGGAGTGGATGTATCAAAGTTTGGCGCACACAGCACTCGCCACGCCTCTACCTCAGCTGCGGGCCGTGCGGGTCTCAGCGTTGATGCCATCCGTAAAGCTGCCGGATGGACTCCTACATCAAATAATTTTGCGCGATTCTACAATAGAACCCTTGTTGATGAGGGGAAATTAGCAAGATTTGTTTGCTTTACGTCGAATCTTTAGGTTAAAACTTTCCTGCACTCATAAATATAAAAACTAATTGTTCCAATTATTGTGATTATATAACGTTTAATGTACGATTAATAACTAATAAATATATTCTAAGAAATATATATTATTTTATTACAAGGAAAAACTTTCTGCTCTAAAATTCTTCCTGGTGAATATTTATATCTGAAAAATGAAGCGATGAAATATAAGATCAAACGAACTTCTCAAGTGAAGTTCGATCATTATTATATGAATCGCTTCATTTGAAGATATAATCTATTACCCACCCTCCCATAGCAGTGATTTGCTAGAGAAAAACTTTCCGTATTAGGGAATACGGAAAGTTTTTCTCTACGCTCTAAAAATAATGAGCTCAGAATGGCGACTCATCACGTCCCCGAGTCGGCGGTGGTAGGGGTAAATCGGTTCACAGTTAACTTCAGTTTAGTCAAATGAATGTCTTTTTAAGCATGCATAATCACCTGTAGGTTAAGGGGACTACCTGGTGAATATTTATATCTTGAAATGAAGCGATTCATATAATAATGATCGAACTTCACTTGAGAAGTTCGTTTGATCTTATATTATGTAGTTCATGTCTGGTTTATGTCCGGCTCGAATGAACACTTACTTGAATATATAAATAAAGTGCAAGTTTAAAATTAACTTTTTGACATTATTATAATATGTTTTACTGCAGAGCCGTCTACACACTTCGGGATAAGAGACCGCAAGGGAAGTTGCTTGTTTGTTGATTTGTGCAGCGGACTCTACCTTGTACTAAATAAACCTAGAAAAAAAAATGAATGAGGACTGTGCCCAGCTGCGGAAAGTACATATAGGCTTTAACTTTAGCGGATATACGATGCCGTAATAAGCTATTTAATAGTAACTTCCACACGCTTTTGGTTACATGATATCTGTGCGTTATAATTACAGCAGAATGACAATAACTCGAACCGCGTTAAGTCTTAATTCTCAGTAAGACGTAACATATTGCCATTCCCTTCCGCTGAACCCCTAAATACGCGGTATCTCGAATAATTATTTAGTCTTTGTAACTCGAACCAAATTCAATAGTACATATAAGTATAAACTCTATAACTCAAATTTCAAAAAGCAGACTCCGTAAGTCGAAGGTAGTAAAATATTAATGACGTCTTGTAATTCCCCGAACTCAAAGCAATAAAATCCAAAAGGAATGTTTGTTGCTTCTGTTCTATTGTGTGTACTTTTTACGCGTGCAATTAATGAATATATTCATTAAACTTTCTAAGTGACACATCTGTGAACTTTATATTTGTTTATGTTTGGGAAAAAAATCTCGAAATTCTTAAGTCAAAACTCATTAACTCAAGTTTTTTAGCATTTCCCTTGAAATTCGAGTTATCGGGATTCCACTGTAAATGCAGCAAAACAACATGGTAAAATTTATTTCAGACCGCTATCTCCTCTTCGATGACACTTTCTTCTTCTATATAGTCGTCCCCATATCCTACTGGGAATAACGCCAGGCAGTCTTTTTCACCCGAAGTCACGTCGCTGCTGATGTAGCACGGGTTAAGGCCAGCGAGCTGGAGTAAGGCAAAACTTCGCTTCCGGGACACCATTAATGCTAGACGGTCCTTGCTAAGAAAATTATTATTTTTATTATACGGATCTCTCCATCAACCCATAAACACGTAGCTATATATACAATATATAATAAATTCCCAGTCCGATCCGTGAGGGTGCTTTAACTGTCATGATATCATAGATATATATCTCTGAAAAGGATTACATGAACATGTTATCCTTTTCTTGAAACAATAAATAAAAGTTACCTAACAAAAAATTAAATTATTTTAAATGGAGAACCATACCCGAAAATACATGTAGTGTCTGGTAACAACAATACCGCCACATGTTAAGCTAGGGTCCCACGGCCTGTTTTGTCACAGGTCAGACCGCGCCAGGCCGGACAACAGGCCGTGGGAACCATCGCATCCGATGAGGCCTGTGGTGGCCTGTTGGCGCCCGTCCGATCCATCGGGAGTCGGTAAGATCAAAAGTGCGGCGCGGCGCGGCGCGACGGCGCCTGTCGCGGCCTGTACGGGCGCGTCTGCGTCGGTTGCAATCGTTCATTTCAACTGCGGTGGCACCTGCGCGTACATGCTCATTATGGAATGGACGAACGAGCTTATATTCGAGTTTTTAACTCTTTATGAAAATGAACCAGCGCTTTGGAATAGTTCGTCACCTCAACATAAAAACAAGAACGGCTTTTGTTGAATGATGACACCCACCAGCGTCGTTTTTTCTGCTTTCTTTTTGCTTGGTTTATCAAACGTTCACCACTGAATAAAACCACCGCGGCCGCACACGCAGCCATGCGCTCCGTATCACTTCACATGTTGGAATGTCAGTCGACAGGCCGCACCAGGCCGGCACACGCCGTGGGAACGCTCAGTACGGGCCGCGACAGGCCCATACAGGCAGGGCAACGCCTGGCGCGGCCTGTCGCCTGGCAGGCCGTGGGACCCTAGCTTTAGACTATACTGTCAGTGTTGACAGATTTTTAAAATTTGCTAAATTTTAAGTAAATTGTATGGTACCTGCGGGTAATAAGGCCTAGTGAAGGGAAAATCGACGATAAAATCAGAAATATCTAATTTGGTCTACGGATTTTAATAAAAATCATTTAGTAGTTTCTATAAAGTATGAACGAATAATTTTAACATTTGCCATAAAGAAAAACAAAATTAATCATTTCTAAAAACCTTGCTAGTAGGCCTTATTTTACTATGGTAGGAAAATATGGCCTACTGCTTTAACGAACTCAAATAATCAATTTATACGTAATATATTTAATATTTGTGATCACTAATCACATGAATGCAGCAATTAAGACTTAAAATTCTACAAAAATATATAAACTGCTATCCTAACAGTACTTAAAGTCATTAGTATAATGATAAACAAACTGACAAACAAACATATTCCTCGTGATTATCATCAGTGCGTCGGTTGTGTTTCGAGTTGAGTAGTGTTTGGTTGAATTGAGAATTGGGTTTATTGTTGGGTTCAGTGTCCTCCCAACACAGCGGCTAGTCTAAACAGAGACTAGCCCATCAGCACAGTATAGAATTATAGTATCCGAATGTATGCGCAATCACAGGTGCACGTTCTTTTCCCTCACAATCATCAAATTGCAATCCAACACGGTCCGAGAGAGCTTAGGCGCAGGACCAATAATGTACTAGCTTCTAATGTCAAAGCCTTAATTCTTCGACTTTGTCTTTGCACTGTTTGAAAAGCTGAAACTACGACATTATTGTGATAATAAAAGCGTACGATTTATTTGCATTCATAACATTTTAAAAGTGATATAAAATTTATAATAAAACAAAAAACTACACATGAAAAAGGAGTATAATAAGGCCTATGGTGAAATTTAGTACGCCTTAATAGCCGGCGACCTAGTATTTAAGAAAATCCAAATTAAAAAATACCACGATATGTTACTCAAATCTTCAAGATCAACAAAGCATTTATTCATAAATATAAAGATTACGATTTTATATAGCTAAGTGTAACATTACAAAACATACCTACGATATATTTCGACTGATTTTTATTATTGTTGCAGTGCGGTCGTATCTTATGATTGATAATGCAACTCTGTGGCCGTACGTGGTACCGTGGTAGGACGCGCCGTAGCGCGTCTCTGCAAACTTGCAGAGACATTATCGTGTAATAGCATTCTGTTATTATCTCTTTAAGCGAGTGCGGTTATTATAAATACGATTTTTGTTACTTAGGCCTTATTACCCACAGTCACCTTAGTTAAAAAAATGTTTTAAATAACAAGAATATTTTTACATTCATTAATAATATGAGACTTTTTTTGGTTATTTCGGATCGGACAGGGTTTCATTACACATTATATACAATAGTGTTCAGAGTAAAAAACTAAACGTACCTTTAAAGCTGCTGCCCGTCGCTGGTCTTGGTAATTGACATCGGGTATACACTAGATGCTTAAACCGCTATATAGCTGAGGTCTTCTCGGTTCCTTCAGCTGTCTAAGGCTATGAGATCTTCCCAACATATTCTATGTTTGACTTTCATAAAACTAACCAGACCAGACGAGACAATGTATCAGGTTTGTGCAAAAGATCATAAAAATTATAATTATTTACGAACTTTATGAAAATATCATAAAATAATGAAGTAGGTATATAAATGTGACGTACTGACGTCGAACTCGGTCCATCTTGTCGTATTGCTTGATGGTATATGCGAGGTGCTCCGCTGTAAAGGGATTATCTCCCTCGAATATACCTGACTGTTAAAAAAAAATAATATTGAAATAAAGTAATTACGATAAAAATACTACATTAATTTACAATAAGAATTCTTAATGGTTTTTTTAAACGTATAGTGCCGGCATTCTTCGTCCTGTATAGTGGAGGCATTCTACATAAATAAAATCACTAAGACAAAGAGACACAACCGGAGTAATTATTTGTAGACCATATAAACGATTGTTCAGTGCCCGATTCGAATATAAGTCGATAGATTATTATTGAAGCACTATTCGAAAATGTTTGAATTTTGACTGAAAGAGGTTTTATTCATTTTGCAATTATATCCAGAAATAAGTACAATATCCAACTAATAGGAAGTTGCTGTCGTGTTCGAATATGAACAACTATAATCATACGTGTCCCTTGCGACTAGATACGTAAACCTGTATGATTATACCGAATTATACTGGACATATTTTACAGTGAGGAAAAAAATGGTTAAAATATGTGTACGAAATAGAAGCCTATGGAATATTTTGTTTAAAAATGCCTTGTTTATTCATTGACATTTTGTCAAATTGATATACATAGGTATCAATAAATACTTACTACGAGTATAAATTATTTGAAATGCCTTGTTTATTCATTAACATTTTATCAAATTGATCTCTTAGTAAATACCATGAAGCAAATACAAAGAGGAGACGTTGTAATTAAATTTCACTATGTAACAACGCGTGACAATTTGCGGGATGAGGGGATTGCAAAGCCCCGCCCACTACACTATCTACATCTACCGATAAATAGTAAAACTACTCGAATCTATCCATATCGATGTTGCAATGTAGCTTAGCTACCTTGACGGTAGATGGCGGCATGTCCACAAAATGTTATAAACTTTAAAAATAACACTTTGGCGATTAAAATTTCTTTATGTCTGAATGCAAAGAAATTTCAGCACCTTCGTATGATTATTTTATCATTACTGAGCTCTACGTACCTTTATATTTTTAGTTCACAGGACACAAAGTGTCGCCATCTAGTGTGGAATATATTTAATTATATTTGAAAGCCGACGCAAAGAGATTTTTCTAGAACTATTTTAATAAATCAGGTGTAAAATTACTTATAAATGAAATGTGATGCCATCCATAGCATCGGAGCGTCTATCTTATGAACCAAATACATTCAGAGAAAGAAATTTTAATCGCCAAAATAATATTTTCATAGTTTCATAACAATCTTGGGAACAGGCCGCAACCTATCGTCAAGTAAACCTCATAAAAAATAACAAAAAGACAGGGCCGCAATTAGAATTCAATTATTTTACCCAGTAACCCAACGTGCAATATTAAAATGAAGGAAATTGTACTTGGCTGATTTTTACGAAATGTTTAAGTTATATTTAAGTGACATTCTATATGCAAAGAATCACTTAAATACAATTTAAATATGTTTATCATTTCGTGAAAGTCAACCAAGAAATACTTATTTATTTTATCCATAAAATTAAGTTTCTTTGAAACTAAATATTCTATATTCAATATTAAGTATGATATTTAATTTGGAACTAAATATCCTACTTATCTCACTAATATTATAAAGGCGAAATTTTGTGTGCTCTTTCTGTCTCCTTGAGCTTATTCCACACTAAGTATGTGTAATTTTTTCACGCAGAAACGGCTGGATTATTATTTATGTGTGGGTTATACTACTTAATATCTCTGAGGGAGAACAAATAATAGACAAATTATTATAATTAATATAATTTTATTTACAAATCAATTAAAATATAAATATTTTATTCCAAATTAGGCATCCGAATGTACTTTTTGAATGCCAATCTCAGAACATTAAATTGTATTTAAGTGATTCTTTGCATATAGAATGGCACTTAAATATAACTTAAACATTTCGTAAAAATCAGCCTAAGTACATTTTCCTGCATTTAATATTAAAAGTTGGATTACTGGGAAAAATAATTGAATTCTAATTAGGGCCCTGTCTTTTTGTCATTTTTATGAGGTTTACTTGACGAGAATACGGCCTGTTCTCAAAATGATTATAAACTATAAAAATGATATTTTACGATTAAAATTTCTTTATGTCTAAATGCAAAACAAATTTCAGCACCTTCGTATGATTATTTTACCAATACTGAGCTCTATCTTTACATTTTTAGTTCACATGACACAAAGTGTCGCCATCTAGTGTCGAATATATTTAATTATATTTGAAAGCCGACGCAAAGATTTTTCTAGAACTATTTTAATAAATTAGGTGTAAAAATATTTACAAATGAAATGTGATGCCATCCATAACATCAGAGCGTCTATCTGAGTAGTTTTTACACAATAAAACACAACACTTCATCCTTTTCTTCTTAATACTACGAAAATACACCGATTTGCGTTTTTTTCAACACATAAGCGCACAGGACGAATGCTGACAGTATACTAACTAAAGCCACGCCCACTATGATGACGTCAGGACCTACTTAGAATCACAGTGCACAGTTGCTTATGCCGTCTCCCCTTTGTATTAGCTTCATGGTAAATACCATTAATCTGATTTTTTTACCTAATGGCAGGTATAAATTCTAGGGCGTTATAAATTCATTAATACTTGTTACGCGTAAAGTAAAGTGCACAAGTCTTACCAGTTCGTCACTCCATCTAGTGGGGGGTCGCCCTACACTTCGCCTACAAGTACGAGTCTGCCATTCGAGAACCTTCTTCCCCCATCGGTTGTCGGTTCTTCGAGTTATATGGCCGGTCCATTGCCACTTCATCTTAATAATCCATTGGGCTATGTCGGTCACTCTGGTTCTACTGCTGATATCCTCATTTCTAACGCAGAGAAACCCCGAGTATAGCTCTCTCGTAAGGTCGCTGAGCGACCTTGAGCTTCGTCGTACGGCCAGCAGTGACGGACCACGTCTCAGTTCCATAGGTCATAACTGGCAACACGCACTGTTTGAACAATCTTGTTTTGAGGTTTTGAGATATGCCTGACGAGAAGATGTGTCGTAATCTCGCGAACGGTGCCGAGTTGAATCCGTCGATCGACATCTCGGTCGAAGTTAGACTATCCTAGTCGGACTATTTGTCCCAGGTAAAAATACTCGTCAACAACTTCAAGCTTAGTGCTCCCAACAACTACCGGCATAGGTGTGACATTGACGTTACACATGATCTTTGTTTTGACCATGTTTATCTTAAGATCCAACGGTTCCACTATTGAGGTTATTGAGCATAGTGCTTAGGTCCTCCAGCGATTCTGTCATAAGTAGTATATCGTAGGCAAATCGACGGTGAGTGATGTACTCGTCATTGATGTTAATACCGTATCCTTTCCAGTCCAGTAGATTGAAAATGTCTTCCAATGCAGAGGTGAAGACTTGCGGGGATATAACGTCACCCTGTCTTACACCTCTCTGCAGTTGGATGGGTTTTGTACTCTGTTTCTGTACTCGGATAGCCATTGTAGCCCTACTGTACAAGCACTTCACTTGACTTGACACCGCTGAAGGGACTGCGGCATCGCCCAAATTTCGACGGCATCAAAATCTTTCTCATGGTCCACATACGCAAGACATAGTGGCAAATTGGTGGGTGGGTATGTATGTGGCCTATGGTGCTAAAGCCTTATCGGAAACCGGCTTGTTCGGGAGGCTAGAAGTCGTTGAGTCTGCGTACGAGACCATTCGTAATGACTCTTGAAAACAGCACATAGACGTGGCTCAGAAGGGAAATCGGTCTGTAGTTCTTCAAGAGAGCGTTGTCGCCTTTCTTGAAGAACAAGACCACCGCACTTCTGCTCCACGCCGCCGGTATGGTGTCATCATGGCGGACGGAATTAAACAGATTCTGAAGGACTTCAAGTACCGGTTTTCCACTAGCTTTCAGAAGCTCCGCTGTAATTCCATCTTCACCTGGGGATTTGCGTTTTTAAGGTGCTGGATAGCTATTCTAATCTCGCTCAGACTGACGTTCGCGATATCATCGGAATAGTGTCGGATAAGACTTGCTCTTGGATCGTTACTCACACTTGCGTGTGGCTCCAACGATGATGTGTACAGCAGTCCATAGGATACGATGCTGTCACATTCGGTCTTCAGCTTCGAGTGTTGGCTATTTCTGGCAGACAGATCCCTGGCAAAGACTTTGGAGCCCTGGTTCCGCTCGATCGCTTCTTCAATACGAGCTGTATTAAAGTTGCGTAAGTCCCGCCGCATGCATATGGAGATCTGTCTGTTCAGTTGCTTGTATGCGGTAAAATCTGTTGAGGACTGCAGCTTCGTTATCCCTCTAACAGCTATGAGATTAAGAGTGTGATCGGAGAGTTTTTGTGTTCTTCTGTAGTGAGTCTTGCAAAACTTAGCTTCAACCGCATGGACAGTTTCCACGAGCTTGTCATTCATATCGTCAACTGCAATCTTCTAGGCACTGAAAACGATTTTGTAACTTGAGCTGAAAGGTTTCAAGACTTTGGATTAGAGCACGAGGGGGACGGAGCGTTGACTTCATTAGACGTGATTTCTCAAACTTAACGTTTAATCGCTGCCGGTTTACACCCTCGCGATTACTGAGACATCACTGAACAGTTGTCGTCTGGTCGTCATAATGAAGGAAATCTCATTGTTTGTCGAACCGTCGGGGCTCGATTAGCTCCACTTCCTGTGGGGCCGCTTCTGGAAGAAAGAGTTCATTATAAAGAGTCCCTCTTTCTCCATGAAGTCAGCCAGCTGCTGGCCCATTGGGTTCCGTTGCCCTATTCCAAATTTCCCTACCTTCAGCTCACCGTTCTCTCTTGTGCCTGGTTTTGCGTTGAAGTCTCCCATTAACATCGTATAGTGGGGTTTGGAGGAATGCATGGCTCTAGATATATCCTCATACATTTCCTTTACCTACTCATTCGGATGTGCCGAGATTGGTGCATAGACCTGTATGACCTTCAGCGAATACCGTTTTTGTGATTCTGAGTATAAGTTCTTCAACCCGCGTCGACACACTCTCAGTCTCAATCAGGAGTAAGCTCAAGTTAATGCTAAGCTCAAGTATAAGCCGCTCGCAGAAGGTTTGCCGATGAGCGTCCCATATTACATCGTCTCGCGCTTGTTTTTAAGTTTAACATTATTTTATCTGTGTTTGTTTTGTCCCGCCAGCAACGCCACAGATTAACGCAACGCCGCAACAAGGCGTGACGTCATCATGCTATCGGAAAACCTACAGCGCGTGGGCAATATATTTAATAAAATGTTACCAACATGGAGTACGTCGGTCGCAAACTGCTGCATAGCTTCGCGGACCTCGTGACGCTTATCTATGGTGAACATCACAAGCACATGTGGTGGCAGGTACTCCGACTCTAACTCTAACGCAGTTATCTCTTGGATCATCTGCGGAATAGTGTTAAGTTCTTACACTAAATGTCAATGCATACAACCTTGTTGTAATAGTGAAGAATCTATAGTCCACTTTCAGCATGCAGATATCGTATTAAAGTTTTGTAAATATGCTCTAATTATAAATAAAAATTGATGTAAATGTAGTTAACAGTGAAATCTGATAGTAATAGTTACGTAGCACAATTATTTTCAGATTTTCAGCTTCTAATTCTCCGGGAGGAATAGGCGGGGTCGGAGGGATAGGGGTTGTCCAGTGGTATGACAAACAGCTCCCACAAGTATTTGCATTGTACTTTTATATAATTTCAAAATGATCTGCCACTATACATGGCCTCCTCCTATTGTCTAAATCCTTTTAGATTTGGTATAACAGGCATGCTTGGTAGGCAAATTGGAATTTTTTTCCTCACATTTTTGTTTGATGTATCAAATATCATGATATTCGTATCTAGTTTATTAATATTATATTAAAGAAAAAACAACTAACTTTAGGGAAAAAGAAAGCGAGACCATTAGCCTTAGCCAGATCATTGGGTGGTGTATAAAGACCTGGCACGAAGAGACCACCCGGAGGAATGTAGTCCTCTCCTTCCACAGATACATCGGAGTGAAATTCTTCCTCTTCCTCAACTTTCTCTTGTTCTGCTTCCTGAAATGGATTTGAAAAAACTGCTTTAGAAAATACAAAATTTGTTATTTTTTAAAGTAATGATAATAAACGAACGCACTGTCCACCTTATAGTATGTGGAAGGTGTAAACCAAAGACACTTGGGGCTTGGGGAAAAGCCTACGCATACCCGTCTCGCGGGGGCAAGGACGGGTTATGTTTGACTGGCACCGATCAAGCCCCATGGTGTTCCATCTCTGCCGCACATTAGCAGGACCATGGAAATGCTTTCTGGCACACCCTCACCTCCACCTGCGACAGCCGCTCCACGGCAGGCCCTCCTCGATGTGAAGACTTCTCTTACTCCTTTTAAAAAGGGTCTCCGGTTCTCTACACTCACCATACGAAACACAGCAGACTTAAGCTGCTATTTTCGGCTGGTATTTTGTGAGAGCGTGGTATAGCCGACCCATTCGTGCTACAACAAATATAGTTGCAGCGTGGCTCTACCACGTATAATGGTAGGTACCTCGTATCATGGTAGTTAATAAATATCCATATCAAAAAACGAACAAAAGGGAGTAGGACAATTACCCAGAGGGCTCGAAATAAAGTTAATTTTATATGTAGATAGTTAATCCCTGCAGGAAAATAGGAGTCTTGATAGTATTTGCCTATTTTCGATGACGTAATCTAACTGAGTTCGGAGCGGACATTTGGAATTGAGAATTTGGCAAATTACATACACATACTACAATTTTGTATAGTTTCACGAGAGTAACAAAAGGGTAACTTACTTGTGTTCTCTTAAATAAAGCCCTAAATCTTAAGTAAGTCCCTGGCCAATGCAGAGATAATAAAAACACATATAATTTGTAAATAAAAATTGGTTTTCTATTAATTAAATTTCTTATGGTCAAGTTTTCTGAATTAAAGTTATTTCTATACGTTTTAATACTGATTCTGATAACGCACTTAACGGGAACCACATGTATTAAACCATGTTGTATATCTGTATATACAGGGTTCCAGGGTCAAAGAGCAGCCAAATTTTAAACTTAAATACAAATATATAAAAAATGATACACCGTTATTGCAATTTTCGAAAATACGGGTAAATAAGGCTTCCACTTTTATTTGAAAATATTCCAAATTGAATGTGATTTATGGACAACATAGTTTTTGCCTACGATCGACCCTTATGAATGTGTGCGTGCGCAGTAAAATCAGTTAATATAATGCATTACCACGCATTTTGAATTTAAAAAATAAAAAAGACAGAATGTTTGAGATTTTTTTTATATAATTTTTCTTCACCATTTGCCTATATTACTTATTCTGAACCTTCTCTGCAAAGGCCGGTTATTGCAAAATAATCCTGTATAATGATTATGGTACTGCTGTTTAGTTATTTTTATACCTACATCTTCAACGAGTTCTTCACGAACGACTTCTTCTCCTATGACTTCTTCTCCTACGACTTCTTCTCCTGCGACTTCTTCTTCAGCAACTTCTTCATCAGGTGCTTCAGGTTCAGGATCTGCTGGTAACTGAAGAATTGCTTGTTGTTATATAATATGCTTGTTTTAACAAAATAGGAAGTAGGACGTTTATTCTTTAATAACGAGGATATCCTCTATAAATATTTATAAATGAACATTAAATTAACAAAATTTGAAGATAGCCCGAGTGACCATGACATCAGACATATCAGTCTCCGTCCAATAGGTATTCCAAAAATAATTTAAAATAAGTAAAAATTTAAACTAAACGCGACATAATATACCATAAACAAGCGATTTTTTTTAAATTTTATAGTAAAAAAAATTATATACGGAGTTTTTTTCCATTTTGTTATGTTCATATTCGTACATTGTAATCCGATTCTGAGCTGTGTTCAAAATTTCAAGTCTCTACTTCATTGGGAAGTGCTCGAAATTTGAGTTGCAAAATTCCAGCCGGAACGACAGACAGAAAACAAAGAATAAAAACGTGGTAACTATGGCAAAATCCCCTTATGAGGCAATGCCTACCTGTAATGGTAATGGTACAGCCTGTTAAGAGTCCACTGATTAACATAGGCCTCTCCATAGATTGCCTCACAGCGCATTTGACACAGTTGCCGCGTTTGGCGGGTTTGCAGCCACAGGTTTATATTATTAATAAGTATGGTACCACAAGTAGCTGCTGTTCATAACGTTTCGGTTTCTCTCTGTCGTCTCTAACGATACGCTAGGGATAGCTTGGGGTAGTGGGTTCTTTTACGCCGCCACCACCGTGCGACAATTCTTTTTGTCATTTAAATGTTATACATACATACATACATAAACACTCACGCCTGTCACCCAGAGGGGTAGGCAGAGACTACGGACTTCCATTTGGCGCGATCCTGACACACCTCTCTCGCCTCTTTCACATCCATATATCTACGCATACACGCTCGTCGGTTAAGGGTACTCCTAATCTGGCCCATTTTCAATGTATCGCCGATCTGGTCGATAAACCTTCGTCTAGGGCGTCCCTTCCCGACCCTGCCGTTCACTTCTGCAACATAAATTTGCTTTGTCACTCTTTCCTCGTTCATTCTTTCTACGTGACCAAACCACCGAAGCATTCCTTTCTTAATCCTTGTCACAACGTCATCTTGCAAACCACACTTTTCTCTTATTACACTATTTCTCACCCTGTCATTCAGATTCAGCCCTAGCATACTCCTTAAGGAACGCATTTCTACAGCATTTATTCTACTCTCATGCTTCTTCTGCCAGACCCAACTTTCACTACCATACATTAAAGTGGGTACTAACACAGCATTATGAATTGCCATACGTGCCTTAGTTGACACAATAGCGTGTAGAGCCCCATTCACTCTATTTCCTGCGTTCACTCGTCGTTCTATATCCTTATCATATCTACCATCCCTGCTAAATAAACATCCCAAATATACAAACTCATCCACTTGCTCAATCAACTCCCCTTCTATTCTTATTTTACATAAAGTTTTACTTTCTTCTCTTTCAAAAACCATCACTTTCGTCTTACTTGCGTTCACTTTCATACCCCTTTCTTTCAATGAACAATTCATTAAAGTAACCATCATTTGCAACTCGGCCGCCGACGATGCAAATATGACTTGATCATCGGCGTACAAAAGGCATTTGACGGTTGACTCACCCATTCTCAACCCACATTCTTCAACTTTCAAAGTTTGCAAACAACTGTCCATAAATAGGTTAAACAGCCACGGGGAAGCCACACATCCCTGTCTGACACCTTTATGAATGCCAAACCAGTCCGAGTAGACCCCGTTGATCCTGACACAAGCACTAGAGTCCCTATAAAGAGACCTTAATGCCTGTATCAAGCCAGCGCTCAACCCAAATGAGTTCAGTGTTTGCCATAACACGTTCCTGTCCACTCTGTCATAAGCCTTTTCCAAGTCCAAGAACGCACAAAAAACTTTCTGGTTTTTAGCCAAAAACTTCTCCGCTATCATGCGCATGGAAAAGACTTGATCCGTACACCCCATCCCCTTTCTAAATCCAGCTTGCACATCCCAAATTTTTCCATCAGTTTCTTCCATAACTCTTTCAATTAACACCTTAGCATACAGTTTACCCACAATGCTAAGCAAGCTGATACCACGGTAGTTTTTACAGTCCTGCTGCGACCCCTTTCCCTTATATATTGGGACTATAACGGCTTTGCACCAGTCTTCCGGTACCCGTTTCAGTTTCCAACATACATTAAACAAGGTGTGCAGCAGGCCTGCAACCACACCCTCACCAGCCCTTAGCATTTCGAGTGATACTCTATCATATCCGGCTGCCTTACCTGCTTTCATGCTTTTCATTGCTTTCATTATTTCATCTACACTTATCTCCCTACCTCTCTCCACTTCTTCCGGAATTTCTATTTCACTTATTTCAGACGACTCTTCACTCTTAAACACGCTTTCAAAGTATTCCTTCCATCTCTTTAAATTCGAAACTTCATCATTCAGAATGCAGCCATTCTCGTCTCGTATAGCATTCATTCTAGGCTGTTTTGAAATTCCCCTGGCAGTTCTTACGAGCTTCCAGAACATTTTAATATTTTCCTGGAAGTTATCAGATATCCTTCTATCATTTTTATCTATCCTTTCTTGCTTTTTCCTTTCAACAACTTCTTTTACTCTCTTATTTATACGTCTAAAGTTTGCCTTTTTTCTTTCAATCTCATCATTCATACCGCCAGAATTACCAGCTTTAGTTGCTAGTAAATCTAGCCATGCTCTCTTCTTTGCTTCAACTTCCATCCGTACCTCATCATCCCACCACAACGTATTACTTTTCCTTTCATTCGTTCTCTTACTTACACCGCATACTTCGGTGGCTGCATCCACCAGAACTCTCTTAATATTATTCCATACATTCTTCAATTCTAAATCAAAAAATTTTAAATGTTAAGTTAATGTAAGTTAATAGAATTATTTTGATCCCAAAAGTTCATGTGGATTTAGATTTAGAAATAAAGCAATATACCCCTGCTTGTATTCTAGCCATACGTTCCTCTTCTTGTCGCTGCTTCTCCTTTAGAAGTCTCTCCTCTTCAGCCTCCCGCGCCAAACGCGCCTGTTCTGCTGCAATGCGATCTCGTTCTTCTTTTTCTTCCCGCTATAATCATAAGTCATGTTTTAGCCTATATATCCCACAGCCGAGCACAGACCTCCACTCATTTCTGAAAGACTTTTGGAGCAATAATTCCGCCTGACTGCTTCAGTGCGTGTTAGCGGCTTCACATGTCTACAAAATATTTTATTCCTCAGATTTCCTCATGATGTTTTCGTTTACGCTTAGACACTTGTCCCACCGCGGACGAGGAAGCGATTCGCTATCGACTGTGTTCTCGATCAAGAACTGAACAATAGATATAGATCCCGTGTCAATAAAAGAGATACATATATTAATAGTGGATAGCTGGCAGTTCACCCTGCCGGTGAGAACTCTCTCTCCACTAGTTTGTCACAGCGATAAGAGCTATCCAAGATAAAACTCGCTCGGCTATGCTCGCTTGGCGGTCAGAACTCACGCCGAGAGATCAACTAGCAGCCATTTTACCAGTGCGGATCTGAGTGCACTGGACTGAGAGCCCAGCGACAAAACTATCGGAACTACACACTCGCTTCTCTCTGCTCGCCAACTCTTATCTAATTTCTAGCTCTACCCGCTTCTCGTTCATCGTTGGCGGTGGACAAGTGCCTTAAAATGGTAAAAAATTTTGTAGTGCCGAAAGAGATTAAGCCCTGGTTGCACGTGTATTGTGAATCTTTTAACCACTGATCTCGTAATAACTCGACCCGTCCTACAGGATACATTCTGTTTTTATTAAGAAAAAAATTTGCGTGTATTTTTGTAAACACGTTCTTTACGACATAACAGTATACTCGTGCAGCTCCGGCGGTAAAACGTTAAAAGAAAAAGTTGCAAGAAAACGTGTCGTTTTTATTTTTGAATACCGTACTAAAATTATCCACTACGTTTAACGTGGTAGAACCATGCTGCATCTATATTATGGTTGTGGACTATGTGGTCGTTTGTCACCCATATTATATTAAAAAAACCGTGATAAAGAAGTCTAACTTCGAATATTTTAGATTATTAGTCCCCTCGAAAAGGTCCCAAAGCAACTCTCGAGTTATACATTGCCCGTATCACTTGCTTTTGCAAAATTAATACTGTTTCCAATCCGGCTGCAGATAGCTACTCGTACAGTAATATAACATAGTAGATGAGACTGCAATATATATATATATATATATATATATATATATATATATATATATATATATATATATTATATATATATATATATTAACGTTGTTCTGCCCTTTCCGACGATCATTTAATTTCCTAAAAAAACTGCAAAAGAGAATTGAGGGTCACTTATCGGGATAAAAACTATCCTATCTCTCAAGTTGGACCAAACTGCACAAGTGTGCACAAATTTCAATGAAATCATTTCAGTGGTTTAGGAGTTAATCGCGAACTAACAATGTGATCTATATATATATATATATATTCTCATATCATACGTATGATAGAATAATATTGGAACGTGTCCTTCACCGGAACCATAAAATATATCCCTATATAATATAATAACCCTTACCAACTTTTGCATCTTAGCCTCGTACCGCTCCCTGCGTACTTCTCGAGCAGTTTTACTAACGGCTGCGTAGCGCTCGAATGCTGGTACGAGAGGCACCTGTTTCTCTGGTGGAACGTCTTCCTTTGGCACTGGGATTTCTTCGTAAAGAGCGTGTCGCAGTAGTTCTGTTCAATGAAGATTTTTTTTATAGGATTGGGTGACAAACGAGCACACAGTCCACCTGATGGCCCATAGACATCTACATCTATCCTCGTTTGCGAATCAACATGTAGATGCGTTGTCACCTGTGAGGACTAAGATGGAATGCCTCTTTTCCAGTAAAAAGGGTCTCCGGTTCTCTACACTCACCATACGAAACAGCAGTGTTAAGCTGCTATTTTACGCTGGTATTCTGTGAGAGCATTGTCCTTCACCGGTCGAGCCGACCCATTCGTGCTACAACTATACTACTAATATAATTGCAACATGGCTCTACCACGTGCATGATTGAAATAATAGAATCCAATTACACTTGTTGATCGCAAATAAAAATTAATGTAAAGGAACAGTCTATTTTATATAGTAATATATTCATTTTTCACCATGATGACAAAAAATAGGGTGTAATAAATGAAAGATATCGATGTCTATGGCATAGGTATTTTTTAATTTATTTTAAACTTAAATTGTATAAAAATAAACAGAGCGATTAAAAATAACATAATTCAAATCATGTGTGTAGTTAACGTACGATAAATATCAATGAATAAATTTGTAACGCCCTTGATCTTACAGGTAAAAATTTACTTTAAAATAGCTGTATTTCTTGAAAGATAAATATTTCAAACAGAGTCAATGAAAAAGCAATAAATTTTAAAGATATTTAAGCGATAGGCTTTTACTTCGTTCACCTATTATACCATTTTTACACAGGGTAAAAAAAGTCACGCGGTAAGCACAAGAATATAAAACCGAGTTTATATTCCTGTGATATGTTTACATTTCGGAGATGAAGCACAGCAGACTCTTTGTCACCTCTTCACTTGGGAATGGATTAAACATCTTTGATCACGGGATAATACAGAAAATGTGACTAGTTAAGTCTTGGGGCAACTGATATAATATTTAAGAGGAAATGTGGGTGATCTATTCTCCATACAAACGCTCTCGTCTGTTTTCTTTCTTGTTTATGACCCTATAGCAATGAGTTCACAGTAAAATAAATATCAACCTCTTCTATGTCCCTATGTTTTCCTTTTTTGACGATACATTATCTTTAAGCACTAGAACGCTTACAAAATTCAACAAGTCTTTACAAGTCAACAGATGCCTAGTGTTCAAATTTGATAACTAATAGGGACACAGTGTATATCTTTCTTATTCAGCTTATGAAATATCTTTGAAATTGGTCCAATACTGGAGGAGGAAATGGTAGAGAGCCAGTCTTCGAATTATGTCTTTTCTACCCACTTCATAAAGGAGACCGTACTCAATTCGACTGTATGTTTTTTAATGTGTTTGACCTCGTAACTTTTTACTGGCGGAACCTATTTCGATGATTCTTTTTTATTTGAAAGCTGGTGCTTCAATGTGGTCCCATACAGGTCTGACCAAAAGTTTTTGAACTATTCTTAATTAATTATATTGAAGTCGGTTGTACAAAATTTTTAATTTTAAACTATTACTTAGGCTATTCAGTCAGATCTGCAGTTGTCCTTAGCGGACGCTGAGCGCTTGCAGAGATGCCACATCATCCCGTGGGTGTCGTAAGACAAAGGGAAGAAAAGACGGACAGCAGCATCCTCTTAATAACAACATAATCATAAAAACTGTGGTTGCTAAACCGCCTGCCATGTGGCAGGTATGGCAAATATGAGTATTCCACATAAATATTCTGTTCTTAATGAAAACCTTATGTTCAGCAGTGGTCTTGTGAGCGGCCGTAATGGTGATGATTCATGACGCAGCAGTACTCACTAACGAAATCCCGGTTATCAGTTTCGAACATCTTGAAGAGTACGACAAGCACCTCGCCATTCATTAGCGCGTGCAGGCACGCCTCATTCGGTTCCACGTCACTCATGTATAACGCTTCCTTTACGCCCTCCACCGTCAGTTGAACAGTTTCCCTTGCCCCCACCTGAATATCTAAAAAATATAAATTCTGATGTTCTTTTGGATATTTTTAAAAAGCAGGGCGTAGTAGAGCCAAGCTACAGCTGTACTAATGATTCATCATGAATACAAGGGCGAGATACAGGTACGTTTTGGAAAATCAGCATGAAGGCATTTTGTACCGCTACAACAAAATTGTTTTTCTTGCTAGAAGTACAAGTTGGTGTCTGGCCAGTACTGAGAATGACGTATGGTTTCTAACTGCTAGTCTTGTAATGTTAAAATGGTTCGTCGAGCATTGTAAGGTCTTGCGATATCATGTAGTAATAATAGTGAAGATCGAGTGGAGGTTATTTCTCTGACAGTTTCGCCATCTTTGTTTGAAGTGTTCGATGTGCAGATACAATAGTAAGACAATAGCAATGACCGATATGTGGGTCACGGGTCAGGTTAAAATAGAAATTTTTATTAATACACCGGATCTTATGAAGCTATAGTGAATTACACCTTGAAGTTACCACCAAACAATTACCATTATTTTCTATGCGAGAACTTCACTTTAGGGCATTATTCTGGTATTTGAACTGGGTTTGGCCAGTGCGATTTTCGCTTGTGGATATCGTAGAAAATATACTTTCCATCACACGTCACAATTCTGTCCAAAATCCCTACATTTTTGTACCTACTCATCAAGGCAAGAAAAGCTTCAACGCGTGCTTTTTTATGCACATCAGTTAGTTCATAAGGCTCACACTTGCTTGCTTTTTTAAATTTATCAATAACATAAGTCAATATTGTGGGAAAACTAACGTAAAACCGTGACGTAAATTGATTCGTTGATAAGGACAACTTCCACGATTATTTTTAATTAATCTTTATTTACCTTAGTATCTGGTCATTCTCGTGGTTCTCTCTTCAAGTAAAAGTTACCACTATACAAAAATGATTTAAAAAAACGTACAGTTTGTTCGTTATTCGTATCATCGCCAACCGCAACATTGATATTGCCAGATGTCTATGCTGCGTTAGAGGTACATCAGAACTTGTATTCGAAAATTATTTTAAAAGAGTCGGTCGTTTTTGGACACACTAGAAATTTTCGCGACCCGAGCATAAAGTTTTTTTTAGAGAATCTAAACGTAATCAAGAAATCTGAAAAGAAAGAGTTGTTTTGATATTTATGTTCATGTCATTGGTTCAGATAATGTAATATTAAAAAAAAATTGTAGTAGAAATGTGGCAACTCGGAAGAAACTCGACTCGAGTTAACTTGAGTTGAAAATCAAATTTGTAGTGGGCCCATTCTCCTTACAAAAAGAAATTGTCTCCTTTGAGGCTTCCATGTTAAGTATTACATTATAATAAACAGTTGATAGACTGTTAATTCTTCGTTCGACAGTTCTCTACAAGGACGCTCTAAAAATACAAAGACGATGTAGCCAATAGTCTATTTATAAAGATTAATATGTAATATTAAGCCGGGAATTATACGGGGTTATTTTGAAAAGAGTAGCCAAATTTTAAACTAAAGTTCAAATATATAAATAATGATATACCGTTATTGCAGTTATTGAAAATAAACAAGGTTTCTACTTTTATTTGAAGTTGTCCCAAATTGAATGTGATTTATGGGCACCAACTACGCGTACGCGCCCTCCTCTCTGTGCAAATCAATTCACAACGTTTTTGCCGACCGATAGACCCTTACGAATGTGTGCGTGCTTAGTAAAACAGAAGACAATCAGTTAAAATAATGTATTACCACGCATTTTGAATTTAAAAGATAAAAAGGATAGAACGTTTGGGTTTTTAAAATTAAGTTTTCTTCACCATTTGGCTATATTACTTATACTGAACCTTTTCTGCAAATTTGGCCGGTTTTGCAAAATAAGCCTGTATATTATGTTTTGAATATCTTGACATATTATCTTTTCTACTAGTCGTGAAACCTCTCAAGCGTGGCGATTACTTTAAATTCTTGTCTTTATTGTTTATCTATAGAAATAAGGATAAAACCAGCGTTGTCCTTGCGAGTTTAAGAAAAAATTGAAGTGACCAACGAATTTACAGTCCACTTGATCGTAAATGGCTACTGCAGCTCATGTACACCCGCAACCAAGTTCAAATAAAGATAGCTATAGATGCGTTGTCCCCACCGAAAAACAAGATGTAACAATTACGGCTCCCTGTACCCTTAGACCGGAACACTACCCTACGTGCACTGCTGCTTGGCGGCAGAAGTAGGTATGAGTGTGGTATCTACCTGAATGGACGCCTGGGCATAAAAGGAATCCTACCACCTAGCATTCAATTATTAGATTCTTTTTACGAGTAAAGAGGATGTCCGGACACCTACACTGACATAACGAAACAACGCCGTATTAATTTTGTACAGCCGTAGTAATTTTATGCTGGTATCATGTGAGAGCGTGGGCCTTCCCCGGGCAAGCCGATTTATTAGTGGAGTCGTATCATAACTGCGCGTAGCTGCACGTAACGTTTTATTTAATGTCAGAGAGTCTCCAGCAAAGAACTGTTTTTCTTAATAAATTAGGGTGACAAACGAGCACACAGTCCACCTGATGGTAACTGGATGCTGTGGCCCATAGACATCTTTTTCCTCAATTAAGAATCAAAATGCAGATGCGTTGTCACTCCTGAGGACCAAAAATGGAATGCCTTATTTTCAGTAAAAAGGGTGTCCGGTTCTCTACACTCAGCATACGAAACACAGCAGCATTAAGCTGCTATTTTACGCTGATATTATGTAAGAGCGTAATCCTTCCCCTATTAAGCCGAACCATTCGTGCTACAACCATAATATACCTATAGAGTGGCTCTACCACGTAAAGAGTGTTTAGAGATAATGAATGACTATGCTTTAAAGTAACCGAACGACTCACTGATAAGGTCCCACTTCTCGTACAGATCGTAGTGAGCACGATGGCAATGTGGCCAGTACATGATGTAGTTCAGACGACGCACGTGGCGTGCCAGCCTCTCTGCTATTCTCTTCTTTCTGGCGGCCAGCGTCAGAATGCGCAAGCGTTCTCTCGCCTCTCGAGTTTCCTCTTGTAACTTTGTGTCAGCTTCTATCTTCGCCTAAATTTTGTCTATGATTAATAAATTTTCAAGCTTTTTAATATAACATTGAATTTTTTTGATGGTAGCGAGATTGGAATTGAGTGTACATTGAGAAACCCCCCCCCCCACTCATTTGTCCAGTATAAAGTTCACTATAGGTACCGTACGTGAGAGATTCCGCCTAAGTCATTCGACGAGTGCTAACACTCGTAGAATGACACTATCGTGGTATTGTCCGTTATAATGATATCTCTAGTGCAGGCGAGGAAGATCGTGTTGTTGAGAGGCTGCCCTGGGGTGGGTGGTGTTCCTGTTGGTTTGCATACTTTGGGGTTATCATGTAATTACTTCTCTCATGTTTCAATACTGTGTGATTGTGACAGGGATATATTACGGTATGGTCGAAATGTACTTGCTCTATACTGAATGTATAGTGCAGTACGCTGTTTTATTGCTGATAATGATTAATTGCGTTAGCAGGATAGCAAATTGAACATCCACATTGTTATTATTTTTAAAAGTTAACCTTCTGATGTATTCCCGCTATTATATTAAGTTTAATAATCTCATCTTCCTCCTGCCCGTATTTTCAAATTATTTGGGGTCGGCATAAAATGTCTTCCTCTTTTAGTCTTTAGCCGTCCTCTCATCACTCACCCCTTTGTTACGCATATCATCCCTAAAATCCATCCATTCATCTTTATTCTTATAGGATAGGATGATTATAACGAGCACACAGTCCACCTGATTGTAAGTGGTTACTGTGGCCCCTAGACGTCTACATCTATCCTTGTTTGCGAATCAAAATGCAGATGCGTTGTCACCCGTGAGGACTAAGATGGAATGCCTCTTTTCCAGTAAAAGGGTCTCCCGATCTCTACACTCACCACACGAAACACAGCAGTGTTAAGTGTTAAGCTGCTATTTTACGCTGGTATTCTGTGAGAACGTGGTACTTCCCCGGTCGAGCCGACTCATTCGTGCTACAACTATACTACTAATATAGCTGCAGCATGACTCTACCACGTATAAAATCTTTTCTTAGGCCCCCCTCTACTCTCATATGCATCGACTTTTATTGCCAACATTCTTTTTTTTTTACACGGCTTAGTAATTGAAAGTAAATAAAAATTACAAAAGGTTGACCTTAGATAGATAGATACATAAACATTTCGGCAATTTTATTACATTTATGTAATTACTTGTAAATACTTCCCTAAGTACAATTGAAGCACTTCTGTCGTATGGTGGTTCTAGCGTTAGATAATCTATCCCAGAATTTCATTTTGTGAGTGCTTTAAGCGAGGTCTTTGGGAAATTCTTGAAAGATCCTATGGTTTCCGATACATGGAAGTATAGCCATTGCATATACACCAGGCGTAAAATACCTCGACCGACTACGTGTAGCGGCGTCGAAGGTGATCACGTCTGCACGACACACCTTAATGTACAAGGCCGTTGAAGATTACTTTTCACACCAATGTTCAAACGGCTCACCGATTCTTCAGGCAGCATTTCAGCAATCTCCTGTTTAGCCCGCACCAAACCAGTTTCCAACTCCGCTTGAAGCAGACCCAGCTCCTCCTCGATGAGGCGACATAATTCGATTCCGTTCGCGCCAAACATTGCCCGTGTCAGTTTTCCCTTCTGTTGACATTTAAAAAAGTTACAGTCTAATGGCCAAATACTCAAACGCTACTCAAGTTTAAGACGCCGTTTAGTCTCGTGCTGTCTCTATCACTTTAAGTCAAAGTGACTGTGACAGCACGAGAGTTAACGGCGTCTTAAAATTTAGTAGAGTTTAAATATTTGAGCATATTACATACACAGGCGTCCACATCCTTTTGTTGCGTCCATTCATCCATTACAGCTTACTAAAGTGCACTGCTCAACATAGACCTCGCCTTAGATTGTCTCATACCGGAGATATTCGCCTTAGCTGCCACTTTTGGCAGGCGGGTTGGATACCGCAGGTGTTTATTTTTTAGTTGCTATTGGAAAGACGCTGCTGCCCATTTCTTGGTTAATTTCCCTCTGTCACGTCGCGCCGTATGAGACCGTCTTTTGTTTCATGGGCGCAGATAAAAGTTAATGATTTGAAGTTCCAGGCTCAGTAAATTCATGTTTGCGTTCACAGGCCTGGGTACCTTAGTCATCTCCGACAATTGTTTACATTCTTTAAATATTGAGGCCGGTTACGAGAGCATCGCCAAAAATGGCGAATGTTCTCAAACTTTTTTGTCGACCCATAAACCAATTATGTTATAGGCCTTACCGTAACAAAAAGAAATACTGGTTCACTTTTGCCTTTAAACCTCGAGAGGGCATCTACTTTATCGGCTAGTACCTGAAAATATAATGTGATTATGATATACAGTTTCTTACCACCCATATACGTTTCTTTGTAGAATAAGAATGACAAGCGAGCACACATACACCTAATTAATGCTAAGTCCAAAAAACATCTACATTTATCCTCGATAAAGTATCAAAATTCAGATTCGTTGTTATCCTTGACCACTAAGATGGAATACCTCGTTTCCAGTAAAAAGGGTCTCCGTTCTCTAAACTCACCATATGGAATACAACAGAATTAAGCTGCTATTTTACGCTATTATTCTGTGAGAGCGTAGTCCTTCCTTAATCGAGCCGACGCATTCGTGCTACAATTAATACAATATATATGCAGCATAGCATATAGATTTACTCTACCACATATAAATTTAATGATTATGTCTGAATATAATCTATACATTACTCATTTAATACCTTCACCATTGCTATTTTGTCCTGACCAATTTCTAATTTGCCTTTCCTGATAGCATTACCGGTTGCCAGGCACGGGCCACAGAACTCGGAATATACTTCCATACCTGTCAAGAAAGAAACATCCAAAATTTACAAATAAATACAATTGAAGTGTTTGTTTGTAAGGTCAAAATAGCAGCTTTTTACTAAATGCATACGAAAGTATATACGGTACTCATAATAAAAACACAATTTTTAAAATTTTTGTCTGTCTGTTTGTTTCGGCTAATCTCCGGAATGGCTGGACCGATTTTGACGGGACATTTACTGGCAGATAGCTGATGTTATAAGGAGTAACTTAGGCTATTTTTATTTCCGAAAAATACTTAGGGTTCCGCGTAAAAAATAAAAACCTATGAAATCTAATCGTGATATTACACGCCGGCGAAGTCGCGTGGAACAGCTAGTTTTAATTAAAATGACAAGCTTTGATATTTTATCCCACATCATATAAATTAAAATTTAATTACATTTAGATATTAAAAAATTTAAATTTAATTTTACATATTTTAGTTAATAGGTGGTAGAAGTCCGTCTGGGTGGATAATGTGGCAACATTATCATCGCGCCACAATAACGTAAACGAAATTGAAAACAACCGGTATTATACTGACTCTTTATACACTTCAGACCGGAGCACGGAGTGCAATCACTGCTGTTTGGCGGCAGAAATAGGTAAGAGGGCGGTACCTACAGGCGGGATCTGAGGCAGAGAAGGATTCCTAGCACTTAGGAAATATGGGGTAGTGGATTCACTTACTTTTTGTATAAATATCAAATTTAAGGCGTGTATCGATTACGCGCTCCTAGCGCGCGCCTTCAATGACCGCGCCGACCAGTGCGTTCCACCGAACGCGTTCCAAATGTTCGAAGTGTATCAACTAAACTCACCTGGCGCGCGGCACCCGTTCCAGTATTTGACCGTTCAACATGGATGTTGGTCGGGTAAGAACAGCTGCCGCTTTCATAGTTCCATGCATATTCTCTGAGCGCGTTATTATGATAAAAACGATTTTTGCTATTCCATAGCAGTTGTTTTGAACCATAGCATTTTGTCAATTTACGGCAACCTTGGTTATCCTTAGCTCGGAACGCAACGAACACACGAATGATGAAAACAACCGTCCCAACTGGCGTGCGCGCCAAAACTTAACTACTTTGATACGCGGTAAAAAACCGACACCAGATGGAGCAGACCGCTCCACGATTGAACGTTCCAACGAACAATTTGGCGCGTGTTCCTAGATGGCATTCATTTCGCGCTGCTGGAACGCGCGCCAATGTTCGACCTCTTGGAGCGCATAATCGATAGGAAGGTTACAAAATAGCTGCAGTAACTTAGGAACACCTATTCCAAACAAAGAAGACTACATATGTATGTACTTACATATCAGCTGATTATAATGAGCTGCCAGGTATTCCTCAAACTCTTCATTAGTCTCAACAGAGTCTTGTATAGAAACTTGCCCTTTACGCGCCATATTTTATTTATTTTAAACAATAAATATTCAGTTTACGTTCACAAGCTTCTTTTACTTTTTACTAGGTTAATTCTGTCGAACTCTACCAAAGAGTATATAAATAACTGCGTTTGTATACTGACACTGTATGACACTTTTTTCAGTTAGACGATAAAAAAGTATAAAAGTACTGAATAGGTCCACCTTGTAGTGGGGATGTGAGAATATCCACTACTCCATATTGTTCAGTGGGTATCGTTAGAGGCAATAAAGGGAAACAAGCGGATGGGTAGCAGTAACTTCCTAATAATAACAATAATATGAAAAAATGCGTTTGACCACCCGCCTACAAAGTGCAGAAGTTTTAGCAAAAATCGCTCAAAAAATAAGCCTCAAGATCCTGCAGGCCCGCTAAAATCCTTCAGAAGCTCTTCAATTCCGTCCTCCGTGGTGGCACTATTCAAGAGGCGTGGCGCAGAAGTGTGGAAGTCATATTGTTCAAGAAAATCGACAAGAACTACAGACCGATTTTCCTTCTTAGACCCGTCTACGTTTATACGTCGTAGAGTCACGCTACAGCTTTATTATGATTGTTGCACGAATGAGTCGGCTTGACCGGGGATGGACAGAATTCACAGAAACACTGGTAGCGTAAAATGAGGGTGGGTGAGGGATCGGAGACCCATTAACTGGTAATGAGGCATTCCTTAGTCCTTCCTTCCTTAGTCACCAGGGGTGACAACACATTTCCATTTTGATTCTTAATCGAGAATACATGTAGATGTCTATAGGCCACAGCATCCACAATAGCCATCAAGTCGATTGTGTACTCGTTTGTCATTCTTATTCTATAAAAAAAAATGCGTTTTTTTTTGCGAGTCATTACGAATCGTCTTGCATGCAGATTTGACGACATATTTTTACTGTTTACGACCAATAATTATATTTCAACTGAAAAACGAAATAGGACCAAGGATGGATCCCTGTGGGATACACATTAGCACAATTCAGTATATTATTATTAACTAATTCAGTAAAGACAATGAACCATTTGTAGTAACAAATTTGTCTGCGATGGCGATATAACCATTTACGTTACCCTAAAAGCTAAATACCAAGACTAACTTTATATATAGTAGAGCCACGCTGCATCTATGTTATGGTTGCAGCACGTATGTTTTGACTCAACCAGGAAGGAGCCACCCTCTCAAAAATACCAGCGTAAAAAAGCAGCTTAGTGTTGCATGGTTTCGTGTGGTGAGCGTAGAGAACCAGAGACCCTTTTTGCTGGGAACGAGGCATTCTCTCATTAGTGCTCAAGGGTGACAATGCGTCAGCATTTTGATTTTTAATTAAGGATAGTTGTAAATGTCTGTCGGTCACAGCATCCACTTACCAGTAGGTGTACTGTGTGCTCGTTTGTTACTTTTATTTTATAAAAAAAAGCAAGAGTAACGTCAAGGTCCGATAACGAAACTTACCGAGGGTCAACCTAGTCACGGCCAATTGTTACAAGAGAGGCCTATGTCCATGTCATCAGACTCTTACGATTGCATTATGCTGCTATTTTACGCTAGTACTCTATGTTAACGTGGCCATTCCGTGGATGAGCTAACCCAGTTCGTGCTGCTGTCATAATATGCTGCAAGTGGTTTTGCGCCGAAAAAAAAAACTCTATTCCTTATATCATGGAAAGAGTCCTGTTACTGTGTCTATTATTTTCATATAATGTTTAAAATCGTCTGCCATCTTTGTCATTTACGTCACTGTCATTTTAAGGTGATAGATGAAGCACAGAATTTTGAATAATGTTTAACATTATAGTATAATTTAATATTTGATAGATATTGTTTTTTTGTAAAATCGCTTATTCTAGATTGATAATTTTTATAATGAATCTTCGATTGGCATTGGGAGTCTTTAAAGTGTTAATGTGGAAGCATTACATTGTGCGGAAGAGGCGGTTTATGATTTTTGTCATTGAGTTATTTACGCCTTTCTTAATGTTCCTATGCTTGATTGCGTTCAGAAGTGCCATGGATAATAGGTCTGAAGAATTTAAGCTGCCTGTGTTGGTATGATAATTTCTACACATACTATTGATCTACCAAATTACAGACATTTATATTATTGATTAACAAAAACAAATAAATGAATTACTAGCGTCTATTAAAATACTATTTCTTTCATAACAAGATAACAAAAAGTGCGAGGGAGATGGATATTATTCCATCTCGCTCGCACAGAAAGGGGGCCCTGGTGGAAAAATCTTACACTTTTTCTCGCCTAGCCCCCATCCGTCAAATTGGTACCGTGCGGTAAGGTACTTCGTTCCAAAAACTGCGGTTGCCAATCTGTTTGCCAGGCGTGGCAACTATGGTAAATATCTTCTCTATTGGACAATCGATGTGTGAGGCTTCTGTTGAGCAGTAGACTTGTAAAAGGCTGTAATGGAATTGGAAATGGTTAATCAATCACTAAAACGGAAAATAGAAATAGAATTTTTTTTTATAGGATATGGTGACAAACAAGCACATAGTCCACCTGATGGTAAGTGGTTGCTGTGACCCATAGACATCTACGTCTATCCTCAATAAAGAATCAAAATGCAAATGCGTTGTCACCCGTGAGGACTAAGATGGAATGCCTCTTTTCCAGTAAAAAGGTTCTTCGGTTCTCTACACTCACCATACAAAACAGCAATGTTAAGATGCTATTATACGCTGGTATTCTGAAAAAGCGTGGTCGTTCCCGGGTCAAGGCCGCCCACTTTTTCTATGCGTCCTTATATTCCAAGTTGTCGTCAATTTATAGCAGACCTTACTAGCGACGGTATTTAACCTTAAATTTACCACGGCCTTGTTGTTTTGTTGTTATTGAACTTACATTTCTTTTGATTGATATAGCAGAAGTTCTCCCTGGACTCTCAAACTTCAGCCCCGCGTATCCTGTACACCCCAGATACAGAGTTGACTCGGATGCTCATGGATCAAGTCGGCGAAGCTTTATACCTTCCTCGATTCGATGCTGTACCAAGTAAGTTCTAGTATTTTCGGGAGTTCTAAGAATTCCTATTATTCGATATGCACTGCACATCGTATCAGTATGATTAGAGTACGTAATATAGTACAGCCACTCAGTCTCATATCTATATATCTAACTATAATGTGATAGCTGATATAGTGATTTAATATATTATATAAATTACTAAAATATATAATATAAAGTACTACAAAACGAACACACAGTCCACTCAAAGGTATATGAAATCTGTTGCACATAAACATAATATACATCTACCCTCGGTTAAGAATCAAATGCAGATGCGTTGTCACCCCTGAAGACTAAGATGGAATACCTCGTTTCCAGTAAAAATGGAATCTGGTTCTAACCACACGAAACAGCAGCATGAAGCTGCTATTTTATATTGGTATTGTGAGAGATCGTGGGTCCTTCCCCGGCCGAGGTGACGCATTCGTGCTGCAATTATGTTAATATACCTCCAATGTGGTATGAACTGTTCGTGTATGTATTCCTTTTAACTTCGTACACTTAAAAATATTATTGTTTTGTTAATATTACGTTAAATATTTACTAAAAACTATTTAATAACTCACAAAAATTTGTAACAGAAAAATACGAAAGAAGCTATTTATTGTCCAACGAGAGTCAATCTGGAGAGGCCTTAAACGCATTGCAATCTGTTGACGCAGTCATCGTGTTTGAGGTATTTTTTATTTTTTTTTTAAACATTATCGCAACACTGACTTTCTCCCATATCGTGGACATAGTTTACATACACAAATCACACAAGGACAAACATTCAAACCCGGAACAATTGTTTGTAGGTCATACAAATACTTGTTCCGTGTGGGATTTGAACTCGCGGCCTTCAGCACTGCAATCTTAATCTTTTATAAGCCATTATACCACGGAGCAGTCTAATATTATACAAGTCTGATTATTCATCTATGTAATATTACGTTATATATTATGTTACTATAATTTAAAGACTTAAATTTCATGCCAGTCAGTGGAGTAGCGTGACTTGGACGGGCCCTGTATTAATATTTGTTGAGGGGTCTAAACGAAGGGCAAAGATTTTCTCAAAAGGACCAAAACCTCTCACATTCATCACCATCATCATCATTACAGCCCTTCACAAGTACACTGCTTAACATAAACCTCCCCCAAGGAATGGCACAAAGCACGGTCCTGAGCCACCTGCATCCATTGACTTCCTGCATGTATTACCAGGTCGTCACTCCATTGAATTAAAATAAAATCATCTATATTGATTATAAGTTATTACTAACAATTAATACTCCTAGAAACTAAGCTAGCCAAACAATTCAATTCAAACCAGCATTCAATCATTTAAGTCAATTCAAATACACTTTTCTTGGGTTTTATTTGACGAACTTATTTATTAAATCCTTCTTATTCATTGCTGAAGGCGATTTCAGTTTTTCTAAATTTTCTGCCTCGATAGACAATTGTTACAAGTCTGATAACCTTTCCTGTCCCATATAAGTCCTTAGAATTTTTCCTTACACACGTTCGGGGCGTCTGTAGCCCAAGGGCCCAGTATCATTGATACGGCTGATACGGCGGTAGCTACGCCCCTGATGTGAGCGTCAATACACTGGCTAATCATGACGATTAAAACAAATTCACCTAACAAAGAAAGATGTTCAGTTTAATGGGTTAGTAAAGAAGAAGTAGAGCAAAACAAGGTTGTATTAGGGTATTAACACACCAATCGACCGATCGTCAATCGATGCCATTGATCGATGTCGATCGATTGGTGCGGTAGCTTTAGCTGATCGACGGATATTGGTCGATAAAACATTGTTCAATCATCGATCGACAATATATCGATGTGGTTGTATGCTCATCATCAGTATCTTTCAAAATGTATTCAGAAACACACCAATCGTTCGATTGTCAATCGATGCCATTGATCGATGTCGATCGATTGGTGCGGTAGCTTTAGCTGATCGACGGATATTGGTCGATAA